ACAGGAACCCCCCTGCTCTCAGGTCCACACAGGGGAACAGATGGCAGCACCAGTAGGTCATACTCTGATTTCCTCTGCCTAGAAATCTGTTCCTTTATCACAGCTGGGGATTTCAGCTATTCCTGATGGCAGCGATTTCCATCTGGGCCTGTGGTGAAAAATAAACTTTTCTTGAACCATTAAAATTCATAAAGCTGTTAACAGTTAAGATGTAAAAAGCTCTTGAGATGTCTTTGTGCATGTGGTTGTTGTCCGTTTTCTGTGAAAACAATCATACCTGTGGTGAAAATTCAATATACTTATAAAATTGAATCTCTCATGTCAAGACCCTGTGACTTACTGCCACAGAGCTAAGAATAAAATGAGATAGCAGTGAGGAAAGTGCTAGTTTGAAGATGATAATATCACTACCATCTTCTCTTAGAGCTCTTCAGAGAAAATGTATGAAAGAAAATTTCAGATAAAATTCCCTGAGTTTCAAAAATTGAGGATAGGAATTACAGCATAAAAATTTAGATATTAGATAGAAATCTAGACAGAAAACCAGACCAGAATTTTTTGGTCAGTGTGGGTTTCTTGTTCACCCTAAACATTCTGGGACAACGAAGTTGGTCTCTAAACCATCGGTTTACTATTTAAGGAAGAGCAAATGCCTAGAAGCTCCTCCAAATGAAGCTCAATCAAAAGATTCTACCAGCGGCTCCCCGCCAGGGTCCAGGAGGGATGTAGGCTCCGAGTGAGACATGGGCTGAGATGGTAACAGGTGCTCTCTCATGAGGTCAGCTACCACACAAAATAGGAACCTAACGTTTCCAGATATTTAGATCTCTCAAGAGATTCCAGAATTTGGGATTTTTGTATGAGATCTCATGATTTTTAAACATTGATATATAGAATATAAAAAGCCATCATGTGGGCCAAACAAACCATGACTAGGGGCTGGATTTGACCTGCTGGCCACCAGCTTGCACCTCAAATACATAGATAAATTCCACAAATGTTTGTTGAGGTCTGTCTTATGCCAGGCATTGTCCTAGATGCTATGGACACAGAGGCAAGGAGAATGCTGTGTGTACTCCTATGAACTTGGCAGCCCAGAGGAAAAGACTGACCTGTAAGGAGATCATCTGCGTGCACTGTGGAGGGTGATCTATGTAACAGCTAACCCACCTGCAGAGTGGGCATGTCATGGAAGACCTCCTGCAGGTAATGGCACTGGAGAAGTTGAGTCTTGAACCTCAGGTGAATCTTGAGGAATTCACCAGGTGACAAAGGGAGATGAGGTAGAGATAGGACATGCCAGGAAAAGGCCACAGCAAGAGCTAAGGATAAGCAGTCTGGCCTATGTAGATACCTACATAAAGCTCAATGCATGACACAGGTGAGGCCAGGGATAGGTGGACCATTGATATAGTTTGATATTTGTTCCTCCAAATCTCATGTTGAAATTTGATCCCCAGTGTTGGAGGTGAGACCTAGTGGGAGGTATATGGGTCATGGGGACAGATATCTCATGAAGCGCTTTGTGCCATCCCAGCAGCAATGACTGAATTCTCACTCTATGCATATATGTATATATGTATGATAGAGTCTTGGTCTGTTACGCAGGCTGGAGTGCAGTGGTGTGAACTCAGCTCCCTGCAACCTATACCTCTTGGGTTCAACTGATTCTCCTGCCTCAACCTCCCGAGTAGCTGAGACTTCAGACATGTGCCACCACGCCTGTCTATTTTTTGTATATTTTTTAGTAGAGATGGGGTTTCACCATGTTGGACAGGCTGGTCTTGAACTCCTGACCCCAAGTGATCTGCCTGCCTCAGCCTCCCAAAGTGCTGGAGTTACAGGCGTGAGTCATCACACCTGGCCTCTCACTCTATTTAGTTTGCGCAAGAACTAATTGTCTAAAAGAGCTTGGCACCTCCCCTACTTCCTCTCTCACCATGTGATGCCAGCTCCACTTTTCCTTTTGCCATGACTGGAATCTTCCTGAGGTCTTAACCAGAAGCAGACGCTTGTGCCATACTTCCTGTACAACCTGCAGAATGGTGAGTTAAATAAATCTCTTTTCTTTATAAACTACCCAGCCTCGGGTATTCCTTTATAGCAATGCAAAACAGATGAAGACACCCATGGAGGACTTTGACATATCAACTTGTGTGGGCTTTATCCCAAGCAATGGGACGCCCATGGAATGCTTTAAGCAGGGCAGAGATGGGGTGACATTGGTGTTTTAAAATTATTCTTTCAGCAGTTGAATACAGCATACATCAAAAAGGGAAGAAAACTGACAGTGGAGAGAATACTCAGCAAGCTAGGGTAACAAAACTGGCAAGAGATGGTCAGGGCATGAGTGAGGGTTGGAAAGAAAAATGGGAATTTAATAACTAGGAAATTAAATTAGCAGGACAGGCAGATAGAAGAAGAGGATGAAGGGGGCCCAGTCAAACGTGGCTCTAAGGTTCTAGGTGGATGGTGGTTAGGGAGACCATCTCCATTTGCCTGGATTGTGACAGTTTTAGGACTGGGAGTTCTACATCCTCAGAAGCCCTTCAGTCCTGGGAAAATAGGGATGGTTGGTCACTCTAGTGATGGTTTTCCAACTAACATGAGGAATAGCAGAAGAAGCTGTAAGTTTGGAATGTTGAAGAGATAATAAGTTTGATTTGGAGCATATTGACTGAGGTGCCAGTGGGCATCTAAGTTAGGATATCAAGAAGGCACTTGGAATGAGTCTACAGCTCAAGAACAGGAGGACTTCGACTTGGATAGAGTATATTTGGGAGCCATCAGCATAAACAGAAGTGGATTAAATCACCCAAGGAGTAGCATAAAAAGGGAAGTGAATCAAGAATCAAACGGTGGAGAATGAAACATTGGAAACTTCCATGTTTAAGGAGCATATCTAGAAAGAAGGGCCAATGGAACAGGCTGAGATGGAGCAGTCAGAGTGTAAGAAGGACAGGCTGAAGACAGGGTCTTAGAAGGCATATAAGTAGAGTGTCTCAAAGCATGAGCGGTCATTAGGATCAATGGCAAGGAAGATATCCAGTACTTTGAGGAGTGAAGACGATGTCGCATCATCGGTAATCTTTGCAGAAACCCTCTCAGTGGTTTGACTGTGGGAGCCAGGTTGCTTCCAGGGAGAACGGAATGTGACTTGAGAAAATGGAGACAGTGAGTTCAGCCTAATCATCTGAGAAGCCTGAGGAAGAGGGAACAAGAGAGATAAAGCAATAACCACATGACCATGTAAAGTTAAGGGGCAGTAATTTAAGATGAGTGAGAACTGAACAAGCTTATAGACTGACAGGAAAAGCTGGAAAAAAAAATAGAGAATTAAAGATCTGGTGTCCAAGAGAGGTGATTAATGCATCAGGGGCCTTGGGGAGATAAAATGATATGAGATGGATTCAAAACCAGAGAGGAGGATCTTGGCTTTGAGTCGGGGGCTGGCAGGGAGGACCTCATATACTCTGGGACTATGGGAGGGAGGACAGATTAGGGTAGGGGAAGGAGCAAGAACAGCCTGAAATGGGAAGCTGTGAAGCAAAGAGCTGTGGTTAATGTTAGGCAGAGAAGACTGAGAAATGAAGAGGTATTGATGGAAATGATGGACATGAAGACACCCTCAGCCGCTACCTTTTTTTTTTTTTTTTTTGAGACGGAGTCTCACTCAGTCGCCCAGGCTGGAGTGCAGTGGTGCAATCTTGGCTCACTGCAAGCTCTGCCTCCCGGATTCACACCATTCTCCTGCCTCAGCCTCCCAAGTAGCTGGGACTACAGGCGCCCGCCGCCACACCTGGCTAATTTTTTGTATTTTTAGTAGAGATGGGGTTTCACCGTGTTAGCCAGGATGGTCTCAATCTCCTGACCTCGTGATCCCCACCTCAGCCTCCCAAAGTGCTGGGATTATAGGTGTGAGTCACCGCGTCCGGCCAGCCGCTACTTTTAAGTAGAATGATAATAGTCCAAGATTCAGAGTACTTTAAGATAATAGTACAAGATTCAAAGTACAGTTTTTGGAAAACTTTAGTAAATAGATACTGTAGAAGTGATGGAATGCATGATATTTGATTGAGGGGATTATCAAATTGTTCTCTTTAGAATTGAAGGGCCTAAAGAGAACAATTTGATAATTATTAGCTTTGTTTCACACATGCATGCACACATACAGACACACATATGTGTGCACGCACACAGACACACTCACCCCTTATATGTAAACAAGATACAACCTGCTCAGACTCCAAAATAGGCATTACAATACTAAAAGTATTGCTTTTAGACACAGGCTTGTTTTTAGACACAGTTTTTGCTAGGTGGGAGGCTGCTGTATAAATACAGAAAGGCAACGTCAAGCAATTTTTTTCTAATTAAAGTTGTATATTCAGTTAGGTTGAGTTTAGAAATCATGGAGGAGCCATTCAAAGCCCACTCAAGACACATGCTTTAAGAGGAAATTACCAAAGTCGATGAAGCAGGGCTCTGCTCTGCGCCAGTCGGTGGGTGAAGCCACAGCAGCACAATGCCTAGCAGAGAGAGCTGATGCCCCACCAGCAGCCAGCAGGGAGGCCTCTACGCGCTGCCTCCGTGAGTCATTCATTGATCACAGCCTAATGCCTCCCTTGGCACAGGGAAATGCCATGGCATTTCATTAGCTCTGCTTATTTTGGTCAACGACTAGGAGCGGAGCCACATACACGATGCTTTCCAGGGTATGTACTTTACCTTCTGGCTTAAAAATTTTTTTTAAACATAACTTTGCTCTGGCATAGAAGCAATGCATGTCCTTTGTAGATATTTTGGTCAACGCAGAAAAAAATAGAACAAAGACCAAATTACCACTTCAGTGTCAACCACAGTTAACATTTTGGTGCATTTCCTTCTTGCCTTTCCTATGATGGGTTTCAGCATGAAGAGGACTGAGCTCTTCCCTTCTGAGAAGAGCAGATAATTCCAGGACAGGAAAAATTTCCTGGCAGATGAACCAAAATATCTGGGTTCGAATCTCGGCCCCACCACTGCTTAGCCTATGGATTTGGCAGCTGCCAACCTCCCTGAGGCTGCTTCCTGGTTTATGAGATGTTGGAATCTATTGCCAGCCTCTAGTGCCTCTTCCAGCACTCAGGTGTCATGGGCCTGTGATATTCTGCCTCCTCAGAAAGATGTGCTTTTGGTCACAAATTCTTCTTGAGCAGTTATAGCTCTTACTCCAAAACCCAGAGTCTTTGGAGTTGTGACTACAGGACTGCAAAGGAAGGGTCTTAGAATGATATGATTACCCTCCATTCCTTTTGTTAGGTCCTATAATTTTTTTTTTAAATGAATGCACTGAATGAGGATGCATTTCAATGCAGAGCATATGTCAGAGAATCTAATGGCACAGGATTTATGATCATCCCATGAATTGAGTAAAGACAGTAGTTTGGTTCATTCTAGCTAATAATCAAATGTAAAGAATCAGGAGTTTTTAAAAACCTGTTAAATAAACCTAGCTCAGAATTTCCAAACTGTGTTCTCAGGACAAATAGGTAGTCTGTTGAAAGACAGAGAGAGAGAGAGAGAGAGAGAGAGAGCGCAAGAGCCAGCAAGCAGTAGCCAAGTGAATTTAGAAAAGATTAGGTTAAATCAAGTGTAACAAGTTTCTTTAGTATAGGACTTCTTAGGACATTAAATACACTTAAATGCACTGGGAATCCCAAGGGGGATACAGAGTATGCCTCCTAACCTGATTATGAAACTATTTTGTCAAGGCATACTAATTCACATCCCGAGAATTTAATTTTCCATGGAACACAGTTTGAGCAATACTGTTCTAGCTTCTTCTAGCAGTTCCCAAGGAAGTGGTTTTCTTAAGGCACCATTGTGGATCTTTCAATAATTATTCATGACTGCTCTTGTCATTGTGGTGATAGCTTGAGCTGAGTTTTTAAAGCCTGTAACCTTCCTGACCTTGGATACTATATTTATGGGTTTTGTAAATTCTTGCATTTGTCGGTCAGTTTTTATTTCCTCAAATATATACTTATCTGTGTTAACCTGTCCCCAACACTGTAGCAGTATTTTTAACTCTGAGTTTTGCCGTTATCAATCTGTGTGATCTTGGCTGAGTCACTTAGCTGCTTTCGGTAGAGTCAGGTAACTTGGGTTAGGGTCCAGGAGCAGGAGAACGCTGGGCGGAGAACACTGGGCAGAGAACAGCTTCAAACTCAGGATTAATAGTCATAGGATATAGGAGATTTGGAGGAAAAGCAAAGGTCTGGGAATGAGAGGAGACAGCATAGAATTCTGGTATGGGGAGGAGGCGGTAAAGGGAGAGGTAGGGGAATTGGAACTCTCCATTGCCGAGGGAAGGCCTCCCTCTAAGAGCCAAATAGAAGCAAAGATGGGGGAAGGTGAAGTTCAAGGTCAGCAGAGGCCTAGTCTTCAGGGGGAAGATTAAGGATTAAAATTCAGGAGAAAGTCTTGGACCTGTGCCTGATCTCCCTGTTATTTTCAGGCAGTGGGTGGGCGGGGCCTGCAGGATCCAAGGAGAGGAGCAGTTCCTTGCATCCGGACGCGGATAAAGTCTTAGGAAGCACTGGGCTTGAGGGGGCTCTGGGTGGGTGTTTGTTTCTGGCTGAATCATCATCCTGTGGGAATATTTCATTTTCTCTTTTTTCTTTAAACATTTTTTATTATACTTTAAGTTCTGGGATACATTCTGTGGAACGTGCAGCATTGTTACATAGGTGTACATGTGCCACAGTGGTTTGCTGTACTCATCAACCCGTCACCTACATTAGGTATTTCTCCTAATGCTATCCCTTCCCTAGCCCCTTGCCCCCTGACAGGCCCCAGTGTGTGATGTTCCCCTCCCTGTGTCCATGTGTTCTCGTTGTTCAACTCCCACTTATGAGTGAGAACATGTGGTGTTTGGTTTTCTGTTCTTGTGTTAGTTTGCTGAGAATGATGGTTTCTAGCTTCATCTATGTCCCTGCAAGGAACATGAACTCATGCTTTTTTTATGGATGCATAGTATTCCATGGTGTACATATGCCACATTTTCTTTATCCAGTCTATCATTGATGGGCATTTCTCTAATGATCAGTGATTATGAGCTTTTTTCATATGTTTGTTGGCTGCATAAATGTCTTCTTTTGAGAAGTGTCTGTTCATATCCAGCAATGCTCCAAAACTGAAATCAGTATATTGAAGAGACATCTCCACTCCTGCATTTATGCAGCACTACTCACAATAGCCAAGATATGAAATCAATGTAAGTGACCATCAATGGGAAATGGATAAGGAAAATGTGGCGTATATACACAATGGAATACTGAGCCAGAAAAAAAGGATGAAATTCTGTTCTTTGCAGAAACATGGGGTCACCTGGAGGACATTAAGTAAAATAAGCCAGGCATCAAAAGATAAATACTGCATGTTCACAGTGTTATATGGAATCAAAAAGTTGATTTCATGCAAGTCTAGAGTAGAATGGTGGTTACTAGAGGCTAGGGAGAGGAAGAGAGAGGGAAATGAGGAAAGACTGGCCCATGGGCCCAAAGTTACAGTTAGGCAGAAGGAATATATTCTAGTGCACAGCAGGGTGACTATGGTTAACAATTTTGTATTATATATTTCAAAATAGCCAGAGAGGGAATTTAGAATGTTCTCACCACAAAGAAATAATAAATGTATGAGATGGTGAATATGCTAAATCCCCTAATTTGATTATTACATATATAAACACATTATCAAAGCATTACAATGTATCCCATCCACATGTACTGTTATTGTGTCAGTTAAAAACAAAATTAAAAAGAGCATTGAAAACATAGAGAGAAAAATAAAAGCTGGAAATCATCAAGTATACGATGACTAGAAAAAAACACAACAAAACAAAAAGAAAAACGAACCAATGACAGAACGGTGGGCGCTGTGGTTGATGAAGCATTTTTATAAAAAGCAGATCTGGGAAGCTACAAGTTCCTGTGATTTCAGGTCCTTGCTTTGTAATCTTATTTTCCATTTGAAGCTAATGATGTGGCAAAGAGTTAGAGAAATGTCCCCCCTTTTTCCTGCAGATGATCCTCCTGAACATCCATCATTCCTAAATATTACATCTGAGCTGTGCTTTCTAAGATGCTCCAGTTATGCAGGTGTTAGGTGTAGGTTCTAGATATTAGAAACCGAGCAGGTCACATCGTAGCACTTCGCTATAATTGGGTGAAGAGTCTAATCAATAGGTCAGAGACTATTATTTATGGGAACTTTCAATAGAGCAAAATGATTGGTTTATAAAAAGCACATTGCATGGAGCACCTTGAGAGAGTACATGTTAGGAGGCTGTGACAGTGTGTTTTCGTCTTTGCATTCCTAGCACCTACTGCATGAATGCCTTAACGTAGAATGGATGTTTACTAATGGGGAGCACATGGACCGAATCATTAATATTTAGTCAATCCTGGTAGTAGAAGAGGATTTTGAGAGCTCAACCTGTGCCTGCTCTGTGATCAGCTTGGGTTCTGACGTGATTGTTTGTTTATTAACCTTTTTAAGACGCCTTGGAATGTGGGCCAGATAAAGGAGGTAAAAAGCAGACTTGCATTCCATATGAATAACTTGATTCCTTTGTTTCCAAAATTCAGTGGTTCACTCTTTGACCTATCTGCCTTTGTATGTTGTCATTTTTAATGATTTTTGAAGAGTAGAAGAGAGTTGTGTTGATATGATACAAGAGAGCAATTCCAGTTATTAACTGTCCCTTTTTCTTGCATGGCCCCTTTCCCATCTCCTCTCACCCCTACCCCAATCTCTTATCAGTCCAGGGAAATGTTTGCCCAATGACTGATTAGATTTTCACAGTAAATTGCATTTTTTGGGAGATGATCCTGATAGCATGTTCACAGCTTCCATGGAAGGTTTTGAGATTATATATCTTATCTTCAAGCTGTTCAGTGTCTTTAGTCTATGCTGCATTTTATCTCCAAGGGTTTTTGTTGCATTTTAAATGGGTTAAGTCCTTTGAAGTTTGATAGACAGTCCTTTCTGGGTCTTCCTAAATTCAGTGAATTCCTCAATACTATCTCTACAGACCATTAGTGATGCAATTCCAGAACCAATTGGCTGTTTGATTATTTGTAACTAGGAAAACTAGAAGATAAGCAAAGTGAAAATGAAGAATTGAAAGGGCACCTGGACTGTGTTCTAGTCTGCAACCTGATTATTTTGGTTGGACTAGTGTTGGGGTGAGCAAAGGGTGAATCACTATGTCCAGTCATTTCCAATATGACCAACTGTGGATTTTGCTTCACAAGCCGTGATGTACTCTTGGTCTTACTGATGAGACATCTGCAGCTGCTTAAGCTGTGTAGAGGGCTGGTGATGGAAATGAAGGAAGGTACTTACTAAAACACTGAAGCTCACTGGTACTGGAAGCAACGCTGTGACTTAGTGGCTTGGGCTGCCAGAAAGAATGAGAGCTTCCTCAAATTAGCAGGGATGGCAGAGGTTTTCTGGACTAACAACCCCATCCCTTCTCCATCGTATCTGTCAGAAGGGTACGGAGCACCAGAGATGCACATGGCAGCATAGTGAAGTGCTGAACAGTGCTGGCAGCTAGTTCAATAGTTTCCCCCTTATGTTGACCCTTAGATCTATTTACGTATAACTGAAATCCATTGCTTTTACTTCTGTTCTCTGTAGCAACAAAGAGCAAAAATCACTTTCTCTGACAAGGCCTCATGCTCCTCAGTCATTTGCTATTTGTCCTAATTCTTCTAATCTCTCAAAGATGACCACTGGTGTCTCTGAAATTCCTGTAGGCCCTGGAATCCAATTCACATGGGCCTGGATTCTTGAGGCCACTTGAAATGACTAGGCCCTCTCTCACTAACCTCTTGCCTATCTGGCACTGAAATTTCCTCTTTACATGGTTTGTTCAAAACCCTCTTTAGGTTAAACACCAGATTTTCTGTTGACTAGGACAGAGGTAAAACAGTCACTGGGGATTTCTGCTTTCTCTCTTCCCTTTTCCAAGCAATACTCTTTGCTTTTCTCCTTGTTTCAATTATACCTTTAAAAAGCTGACTCTTATAGCTGACTTAAAATTACTGACTCTCGTTTTTATTTACAAGCTTTGGCTATGGCTAATCTTTTAGCCTTCCTGATACTATTCTGATAAGTTCTTGCTAAACGAAGTAAAATGGTACTCCTTATTTAATTACTCTTTCCGTTAATACAATCTTGCATCCCAATTTTGTCACTTGATATCATATCATGAAATCTTTCCAAGTCATTAGAATTTATTCATATATAATGTG